CCAAAAATCATAATGTCATGTGCCATTTTATTTATAGATCAGTGTGGGTGGAAGCAGTGCCAGCCATCCTCAAGCTGTTAGGCTAGACTTGAAGTTCAGTAGAGACCTGCACTCTATGACACCGAGTATTCTCTGCAAAAACATATCCCCACGTGAGCATTGCACCACGTCTCACTTGTACCTGGGGATCCTCTGCCTTGTACATCCTGTATCAGCAATGAAAGTGTCCTTTCTATTGTTGATGCATTGATTTCAAGAACCTCCAAATCTGTTTTGAAAGGTGTATGGAAGGTAAGTACTAAACCGTCCAAGCTTGCCCCTGTCCTGGGAAGGATCTTCTAAGATGCTTTAGGAGATCTCAGGCTATGCACAGCCCACACGCTAACACTTTCTCCCTACCTAGCTCACTTTACAAGAACCACCGCTAAACAATTTCCACTCTTCTGGGATGATTCGACTCGACCTCCTTGCACTCACTCCCTCTTTGGCTGGTTTAGCTAACTTTATGATTTGCTTTTCATAAAGTTACTGAATTCCCTGCTTTTTAAATCTCTCTTTGGCTTCTGCTGAGCTGCCATCTCCCCCTAAAGTCTCCCCATTGAAAGTGTGCATTTAATAACGGAAGTTGCCAACATCTTGACCTTCTTTCAGATATGACAATGGAGGATGTTCGGGAATACGAGAAAAACATGCATGAACAAACCAACATAAAAGTTTGCAATCAGCATTCCTCCACTGTGGATGACATAGACAGCCATGCCCAAACAAGTGTATGTAGAATTTTTCAAACATGTTGCCCGCCCTTTAGCAAACGTACACATCAACCGATCTTTACAATAGAGCGGACGCTCATTCTCGTCTTTCCACAAAAACATGTCTTGTCCCAGAGGCTGTTAGTGAAGAAACTGGGGTGGGGGGTGGGGGGTAGGAGGGAAGCGTCTAAACTGGACAGGGTCACCTCTTGCTTCCAGACATGTTGATTCTTTAAAGCCACTTGACTTGGGGTTGCTTCAGTCATCAAACCAAGAACATGGGCAGTGGAAACCTTTCCATATGGCCTGCACTGTGATAGACAGAGGGGTAAAAACGCAGGTCACAGGAAAACAAGAATAATGTCAGTAACTTATAAAAACATGGTTAACACTCAGTTATTCATTCAAGGGACAGCTTCTGGCTCATCTGGTATTTTAGGTTTCTGCGCATTTACTTTGAAATGTTTTCTTTGGCTCTGTATAGCTGTGTTAGCCAATCAGTTCCCTTTTGCTTAGGTTAATCTCAAAAGGCAGCTACCGTCTGTGCACACACACACACACACTGGCTGAGCAGGGAAGGTGCCATGAGCTGGGACCGTGCTGGCCAATAATAGACCTAGCCTGGGACTTAAGATAAGCTTCAAAGAACCTCAAGTTATTTAGTGGCACATCGGAAATTGAGAGCTGACTCTATGGCAGAAGCCAGCATCTTAAATATAGTTATCTCTCAATTATTCATACTACTGCAAAGGAGACACAGACAATAAAGAAAATGTAATCACCACATCATTTCTATATATCTTTGGCCCAAGCTGTGATCTCTTTGGGTGCCTTGCCTGTTAGCTCAGGCTCCAGAGTAATATATGTTCGATTATTTAAAAGTGGATAACTTAGTTATAGAAAAGCAAAAGATAGCTGTTGTTGTAAATGGATGCTTTAGAACTGTGAAGACCTTCTGGAGCATTTTGGCAATTTTTAATAAGTTTTTGGAGCATGTCTTTGGAATGCGCCCCGCCAGGTACATGGGCTGCTGTGGATGCATGTGACTGCCCTTGACATTGGAATGGCCCTAATTCTTCCTCCCAGTTTTGCATGCATTTGATTGCATTTGCAGAAATTTATTTAGCTAAGACTTAACTGAAGTGTTCTTCTCTGTTGGTGCAGACCAATTCCAATAGGACTCCCCCCCACCCCAGTTCCAATGTTAGAAATGCTCGTTAAGGAAATTGTCCTGGAATTTCCATCACTTTAAACTACGTTTTCTTTTTAGGAATGTTGGACACCTTTCTCTCCGCAATGCTTCCTACTCCCACCCCTCCTACCCTTGACCCCACCCCCACCCCCTGCAGCCACTCTCTGAAAACTGTTTGCTCTTATATGACCAAACAAAGGAAGTCAGAGGAAAGGGAGAGATACCACATGTCTAAAGGATTCTGAGCCCCCCTTTTTTCATTCTGAGTTCTCATGGCTTACAGATTAATGCTTGATCTTCTTTTGATTTGACTATGATTGTTACTATCCTAATACCGGTTTACTGAAGAGACAGCAATACTCAGACTGTCTCTCCACATGTGGAAGTCCACACTTTCTCACTGCAATGCAGTTGTCCCCATGACTTCAGGGTACCTGCTTGCCCAGTAAGTTACACAAAGAGATTATTTGAATGCTTGCGACATTTCCAAATAATCTTGGGAGTCTATCAAATTGGAGATCATCTGTTTTTCCATTGTCTTTTTCTTCTCTGTCCTATTGAAAAATCAGTTGAAATGAAGAGACTAAAGTCCATGGCAAATAAAAATTTCATGGGTGCTCAATAAAATTTAAATCATCAACCTGACTAGGAACTAATTAGATTGAAATTGTGCAAAATTAACACCCATGAATACACATCACATCCATGCAATAAGGAAATAACAGTCTCTTTTTCAATTGAACAGTTTTCAATGCCTTCAAGGAAGGGAACTTCTAAGAGACTCTGGAAGGGAATGTAAAATCAAAGTTGTGTATGTTGGATGATTTCTGCCCCCTGCTGGATGTGTGTGGAGTAGAGCACTCTATTTTGCCACCTGTTTAGAAAGCCTAATTTTTCAAAGATGATATCCATTTATTATAGCAGAAACATAGCTCAATTAACTGAAAATTTTTTTGAGAGTTTTGATTTTATTTGAAAGTAAATACCTCTTTAAAAAAAAACCTAAGCTTATTTCTTAGCCTGTTTAGCAGTCAGTATTTTTTAAATGTGTTTAAAATGGTAGGTTTAGGTATTTTTAAATGGTAAGTGTATAGGTACAGTTTTTCTTCTTTTATTCTGAATTTCACATTCTATCAATGCTGTCGTCTTTTATTTCCTTTGTAAAAAAATCTTTTCCTTTCAGAAAATTTTAATAATTGTCCCCAGGAAACTCTCTCTTAAGGATTTTGTTTTTAACAAACATTTTGGTTTGCTCATATGTTCTGATATGACCTACTCTGTGTATAACCTAATGATGTATACCATGTTATGAATATTCATTCCATAATTACTATTTCCACTGTGACCATACTGGTTCATGTTTATGCAACATTATCTGTGAAGGTTTAACTATTAAGTTCATGGGAGGGGATAAGAATGAGGAATGAGTCTCTAGGGAGCTAGAACAGATGTACAAAATCCACTGGCAGCAGATTTCACCTTTTACTCAAGGACAAGCCCTTAGACCTTCACTTGGTGCTTTTTCTAATGAGCCCAGTCAACTGTTTTTCCTGTTACTAGCAAATAAAAAATTACAAAAGCCTCCCTGGTGGCCTATGGGTTCTCAGCCCTAGAACCTTTGCAGTTTGAGTTCAATCCCCAGCCAGTTTGCTGACCCACATATGGCGCAGCAGACCTCTGCTGTCTCCCCACTGCACCCCTTAACAGTGGATTTCAGTAGATCCGCCTGTTCTGCTCGCCACTCTGTCTCTGGTGAATCCTCTCGCCCCCTACACTCTGGCCTATACCCCAGTTCTTCTACACATATTTTTTTTTTAATTACAAAGGATACCAGAGATAGCCAAACTGAAAGAAATTAATAATAGCCAAAACAATACCAATAATGAAGTTCTTGAGAACAAGGAAAGGAATATCAAACAATAAAAAGCAAATAAACTTGAAAAAGAATTCATTATTATAGCACGATGATATAGGGTCAACATATTTATGGATAAAAGGTAATGTGTATAATATAATAAATACATTAAGGAAGATTTACCTTTAATTTTCTTTTTACTTTGTCATTTAAAAAGAATATTTCAATTATTTAGAAAATCTATATATAGGACAATGCCTGTTAAGTACAGCATCACTGAATTTATTTCTTGAACTCCAAATAATGCTTTTTTTTTCTTTTTTTTAAGCTGAATTAAATAAAACACAGCATTAAGCAATCTGAAGTTGGATACACAATCAAGAAACCAGTAAAACCCCGCCCCCCGCCAGAATACATTGAATAAGATAGAATGTTGAGAAATTCTGATATTTTGTCTATCTCCCCTAGAAAGATGTACTTATATGTTCTAAAGTAGACAATATGTATCATTTTTTGAGCCATCAATTGCTTTGATTACCTTTTCTTTATGGAAAAGACAACCCAGTGGGCCTCCCATGGTGGCGCAGGCGATTGAGCGCCGTGCTGTGAAGCTGTCCACAGCCTCTGCAGTGCCAGTTCGATCCCGGCCGACCGGGTGAGGGTCCCACATGGCGTGGCAGACTTCTGTCGCTCCCGCTGCTCCCCTCAGCAGTGTACTTCGTCAGTCTGCCTGTTCTGTTCCCTGCTCTGTCTCTGGTGAATCCTCTCACCCTCCACGCCTCTGGCCTGTACCCCAGTTCTTGTGTAAATGAATAAATAAATCTTAAAAAAAAAAAAAGATAACACAGTGTAATAGTAACTCTATACACAGGCCACACACACACACACACAGACACACACATAGAGTCCCCATCTGGTTCTGTACTCACCTGCTAAGTTCTTACTCAGAATACTTAAAATACTTGATGAAAAACACTTTGGAAATTTTGGGATGGATATTCATAAAAGGATTTTTTTTTCAGAGGTTTGCCTCAGTAAAAGAAAAAGAAAAAATGCAGGGTTTAGCATTTCGGTGACAATTTGGCTTTATCACCTGGAAAGGCCCCTCTGTGATAGGGCTCCTGTAGCTTTAAAACCTGGCACAGAGCTGCATCTCTTTTAAATAACTGTTCATTTTTCTCTCCACTTGTTTTCCTTAAAGACATGACAATGGATGAAGTCCGAGAGTTTGAGCGAGCCACTCAGGAAGCCACCAACAAGAAAATCGGCGTATTTCCACCTGCAATTTCTATCTCCAGCATCCCCCTGCTGCCTTCTTCAATCCGCAGTGCCCCCTCCAGTGCTCCGTCCACACCTCTCTCCACAGATGCACCAGAATTTCTGTCAGTTCCCAAAGATCGACCCCGGAAAAAGTCTGCCCCAGAAACTCTCACGCTTCCAGACCCTGAAAAGAAAGCCACCCTGAATTTACCTGGTGTCCACTCAGATAAGCCATGTCGACCCAAATCAGAGTAACTTCATATGAATATTTCATGGGGTTTTATATTTTCGTTTTGGGTGTTTGGTTTGTTTTTTTTTTTTAAGAATCTTCTGATAAAGAAAAAGACTGCTTTGTCATGCAAATGTCCCTTCGATCTCTGAGTGTGCATGTGGTTAAGTAATTCACATATAGGATTCCCCAAGTATGCCACACAGCCTCGTACTAGATGTAAAATGTTAGACTTGCAAAGGACAGAGGAATCTTCTGTAGCCACAGCTGGAAGCCAGGGAGGAAGTCTTGTCATTAAGCATTGGATGAGGTTGGGGGGACTTCAAGGGTTGAAAAAAAAAAAAGCAAAAACGTGGCACCACTTTGTCACAGGGTGTGGTAAAGAATAAAGTCAATTTTCTCCCATCAAACCTGAAATTCTCAAAAATGCTATTCTCAGGCGTAAACTAATTGCTAAATTTTGAACTGCTCATTGCCAATACTTGAATACCAACAGTTTCTGAGATTCCTATTTTTGGTTAGTCTGACTCAGGATTTGGGGCCTAATTAACTCTTTAAATTTTTTGAAAATTTTAATTATCAACCTCTAGAGGCTCCAAGTGCAATTAATGATAACTTATTTATAGCTTTCAAGGCATTTAATAAAGATTCCACTTGTTCCTGTCTTTTAATAACTTTACCCCTTGTGGCCTCGGAAATCTTTAAGAATTGCATGGGTGAATGTGACCCTAACTGACTGATCTTGGAATGGTTTGGTTTAGGAACCAAGAGACCCAGGCAAACATCTTTTTTCTCTGCAGACACCAACAAACTTTGACTTGTCAGCTTCTATCATCCAATAAGATTCTCAGAATTTGCAATTAATTGAGTAGAATTCATTGACCGTTTGCCCATTCAAATGAGTTCAAGGGAAGAGTAAGCTCACTGGACTTGGACACTGTCAGAATGTCTGGCTCAGGAACCCTAAAAAAGAGATTTGTCTCCCTCCCCCCCTCCTGGTTTTACTTTTAATAACAGCCAGACATCCCTGGATCCATTCAGAAGTCTCTGGAATGGATGGCCCATCGCTGGTCTTAGAAAAGACTCGTCCTTCTGGCTCCCTTAACTTGAAACCCAAACATTGGGAAAGTCACAGAAGTCAAGTAAATACTATCGAGTGGGAGGAGAATTGCTGGCTCCTATTTGTAGACCAACAAAGGAGGAATGATAAAAGGTGCCCCTCTGTCTGATTTTCTTTCCTGCAAGTAGTGGTAATGCCAGATTAGAAGGTTGATGGGAGGCAAGATCCTTCATTAAAGTGGCAGAAAGAGAACTCTCCTTTGATCTAAAGAGAACACTCTCTCACCTTTGCACCTCACTGCCTTCAAACGCAGAAGGAAAGGCAAGCAGAATCTAGCATTTACTTTTGTCCTCCCAGAGAGGAAGAGAACAAAATAACTGGGCAACTCTGAGGCCCCAGCTAGCCTTCCTGACCTAACCTCCAACCTCAGGAAAGGGACCTTCCCAAAACACAGATTCCAAAGGAAACAACAGAGACCAAGTCATGGTCTCCTCACAGCCTCTCAGCCAGTGGACCCTGCCTGCTTCTCTCTCAGTGCTCTGCACTCTGCATAGTGTCTTTCAAGTTGATAAACTCTCCCAAGGTGCCGGCGCTGGCCCCGTGAGCCCAGCACCAAGTGTTCTAAGTCATACGTCAGACTGTCAAGATCATTTCTTTATCTCTAGGTTGACATTGACCTTAATAAATCAATAAACCAGAACGCAAAGGAAACCAGTCGCCAATAACTTAGGTCAACACTGCATCTCTTCGCTGAGAATGATAGCCTGGTAGTAAGACACCTTCTTTGCATGGTATGATAGCATGATTCCTGCTTGTGGGAAAACAATCTTTTCTCAAATCCCTTGGACTTCTCAATGGCTCCCTCTCCCACACAGTAGTCCTAAAAAGGAGAATGTTTGACTTTAGAAAGCAAAACTCTACTTTTGGAAGACACTGACATAGTGTTTGTATTTGCTTACCATTTGCAAGCTGAAATCAGGATGGAGTGGGATCACGACTTCCACATCCGATTGATTTTGTGCCTATGGTTAACCCATCCGGCACCTAGCTTTTTCATCAACACCTTCTATTTTCCCTTTTTGTAAAGTAACTTCTGCTATCAAGATCAACAATTCTATATGCTTTAGAAAGCTAATTTGTGATTTCCTTCTGTGAGTTTTCTTTCTCTTAAAGCCAACCTAATACCACAGACAACAATTGCAAAGCTGCGATGATTGTGTGATTCTTAGCCAACAAATGTATGTGCTCTTAAAGTACACTGTTTTCCTGTCTACATGTGGTTTGTGTGCATTAAAAGGGTGGGGGGGGTTGCCAGTGTTCATTTAACTGCTTTGACTATTTAATCCAGTCATCATAAGGCATAAATGACTTCAACATTTTATCTCTCTTGAGTTTCAAATGTCATTTCACCTTGTCCCCACATGAATTTGTTTATTGTGGGATGAAAACCTGCGATGAATATGTACATAGAATATTAATAATTCCTATAAGGATGGAAGTTAAGTCACTGCATGATGGAAACTTAGAAAAAAGCAGAACCTTGAGTTCTTTAAGCATGTTTGAGGGGAAACAGAATCTTTAACTCAGTGCCTCTGTCTGCAATGTGGAAACCTTCGACTTTGTCCACCAAAATTGTATGATACCCGTGTAAATATATAAATAGAGTATAGTAAATCAGACACCACCAGTTTTTAAGTCTCTGGTTGCAAATTTTAAATAAATAATCCATAAACCAACACATATTCACCCCATCTTCATCTCTGATGTTAATGGAAACCATCATCACAACGACCCTGCATTTCATTAATTTGAGGGGATTTCACCTCAAAGCTCCCCTGTGCGTTCACTGACTGTGGCACAATATCCTGGCTTTGACTGTGCTTTTCCAGCATAAGAAGGTCTCAGTGTTTTGACCACATAAGCTTTTTCATAAGTCAACTCTACAGGCCATTTCCTTTTCCGACTTTGGGACTGTCATAAGGCAAAGCAGAGGAAAAGCTTAGCAACAAAGGCGTGACGTTTTTCAGTTGCTGCTGTCATAACCAAGACAATATGAGTTCATTTGTAAACTGACTTATAATTCCTCTGTTACCATTTTGCATCTGTGTGGGGAAATAGTTTTAATTTATTTGGAGTTACTGATCAGTCATATTGTTAGTTGTGAAAATAAATCTCTGGGTAGCACAGACACTAAAAACACAACATAGCCCCCCAAAAGGAATTGAGTGGTTTTCTTTCATGACACTGTAATAATCAGAGAGCGAAGAGAATAGATTCTCACACTTTTTGAAAAAGGATTTTTCAGTGAAAATGTCAAGGCTGATTTACACATATTTTAAAATTCTACTTTCCTTGCATTTCTTCATGGCTCAGAGACAGTCACCGGTTGACGTAGCTCAAGAGGGATTTTACTTTTGAGCAGGGCCAGTGTATAATGTACATGTCACATGTCCTCAGATAATCCAATCGGGAGAAATTGCCCGAATAGTCTTCATCCCTTTCTGATTATCTGACTCCGTGTGCTACGTGACGATCTGCCATCTGAGCCATAGTTCTTGAAATTTAAAAAATAGTATCTGTCCAGTGACTGCCATTGATCCACCTTAAACAGACTCTTCAGTCATTCTTGCTGAGATGGAAGCGTTACACGGCGTGGGCATGTGGCCACAAAACATGGGTGTTCTTCTCTGTTCTCCCCTCACAGCAATCTGTTTGCATCTGAAATGTAAGTATTTCAACTGTTCAGGAGGCAGTGCAACGCAAGGATGTGAAGATGTTGAGAACTTCTCAGATGCTGTTATTCAAACTAATTTGGTTGTTAACAAATGCTTTAGAATCTGCCTCTCCGTGTTTTTGCTTTCAATGGGAAACGTCTGTGGACTTGCAAGTTTCCCTCCCGCTTCTCTCTCTCACTGAGAAGACATTCTTTGAGTTGATGTTACCCCTATGCCACTTTTATGTAGCTTTGGAACACACAGTGTTACAGAGAAGCAGAGCAGACAGAAGTCGATCCTCACACATGCCATCCTTGTGTGTCATTTTACGGCTGTTTTGTGTTTTTTCCCCCCAGTTATTTATTATTGTTAATAACTTACTTTTTCTTACATTCTGTTGTAAATAAAGTACAAAGCAATCTTCTTTCCAAGTGTAGCTTCCTCTTTCTTTCTCAGCTGTTCTCAAGGGCACGTTGGCAAGGAAGAACACGTGGATTGAGGGGCAGGGAACTATGGAGGAGGAAGAAACAAGCCAACAGCCGATAGTGAGACCCAGTTCAGGAACTCGGGTGCCAGGGAGCCCGGTCTGCCAATAGGTGGGCAGTAACTTAAGGGCCAGGGCCGCACTGAGAAAGCACTGGGGGCAGGTTCTAGTCAATCCAATCCCAAAATGCCCAATGTGAATGCATGACCCGGTAGCGCACATGCTTAGATTCATCAATTCATCGAACAGGTGGTTCCGCCTCATCGAAGGTGAGGCGATGGTCTGGGTGGCAAGCCAGGGAAATCAGCCCCAGAGAAAGTGTGGGAAAACTACCCCCGCGGGACACCAGGTTTTCACCACTGCGGGGCCAACCCCTTCTTATTTTTTTTAAAGCTTTATTTATTTATGCATACAAGAACTGGGGTGCAGGCCAGAGATGTGGGGGGGAGGGGTGAGAGAATTCACCAGAGACAGGAGAGGTCTGCTGTGCCATGTGGGTCAGCTCCCTGGCCGGGGAGGGGATCGAACTCCTGCTGCAGTAGCTGTGGAGTGCTTCATAGTGCTAACACTTAACCCCTTGTGCCACCAGGGAGGCCCTCAGGACCAACCCCTTTTTAAAGAGAAACCCAAGTCACTCTGATGCAGTTGCTCACAGCTAAAGTTGCTCCTGTTGTTCACAAAAGGGGCCTCTGGGGACGGGCAGGGTGAGGACAGAAATTCTTTGGTGACTCTTGTTCAATAGTCTCAAAGTATAAGCAGCAACACACCTCCCTCGGGGCTTCCTCTTCAGTCCTGAAACTATTGTTGTTATCCACACCATGTGCTTTGATCTCTGACCATATACACGCCGTGTGTGTAACTGTGCACCAGAACTAGGTTTCCTAGACGGAAAATGCTCCCGGATCATAGAGCGCTAATCCAATTACCCAAATGTACTTGCTTTTTGTAGCTCCAGCTTCACCAGCACCACGCCTTTGAATCCTCTCTTCAAAATACACAAACTTCCCACACATAGTTGCTGCCAGCAAAGTTGGGTACAACCAGGCTGGGTGTTTATTCCTGGGGCCGAACTATGTGGGTTATCAAATATTTAGAAACCTATGTTAAATATATAGATGCTTGAAACACCCCCAGTTTCCAAATGTAGCTTTTAATCACAGTGTTATCTCGTTCGAGTGTTACTTTTAGACTTTGGAACACCCACATTCTCTTCTAAATAGAAATCTCCTCCTTGTTTCCTTTAGTGCACTTCATTTGGGGCTTTTTTTGCCTCCAGCCTCCAGCTGCACCTTGGCTCCTCAAGCATAAGTCATGTGTCCTTTCTTTAATCCTTGGTCTGGAATATCCTTTCAAGAAAATGTTGCTCTCAGACCTGAAGCTTTGAGGGCTCTGGGACAACATCAAATCTGCGTGTTCGTGTACAGGCTGTGCGTGTGTGTGGCACTGCAGTTGATCCAGGCAAGCCCTATTTTCAAGTTTATCATACTGATTTTCTCTGCTGAATTATTAGATTTCTAGCATCCCATGTGCCCATAAATTCTTCCATTCCTCTGGCATACAACCTCGTAAGATAGTCCATGCAAATCTAAACATTTAACTATGTCCCCTGCTCCTAGGAGAATTGGAAACAGTCTGGTATTTATCTTAATGCTCTTGTTCCGGTCCCAGCGTGGAGGACACCAGTTAATATGGAGCCAGAAAAACTGGATGTGGCCTCAGGTCTTCCTGAATCTGGGCATTCAGTGCAGCGCGTGACTGAGCTGAATTAAACACCTGGAACTAGGGAGTAATTATGTTTAATCCTCAGTACCACCTGTCTGCATTGAAGACACACAGGGAGGACTTGAGTCAAGGATTCTTCAGGGAGATATGGCCACTCCGTCACTTGAGATGTTCAAGGGCAGCCAAATGTGGACCTTTGTGATTTTTAAAAATTATTTTCTTGGGCCTCCTCTGGTGGCGCAGCAATTGAGCGCTGGGCTGCGAAGCTGCCCGTGGCCTCTGCAGCGCTGGTTCCATCCCCGGCTGCCAGGCGAGGGTCCCACATGGCTCGCAGACCTCTCCTGCCACCCGCTGCTCCCCTTAGCAGTGTACTTCGGTCCTTCTGCCTGCTCTGCTCTCCCCTCTGGCTCTGGTGAATTCTCTCACCCTCCCGCGCTTCTGACTGTACCCAGTGCTTGTATAAATAAATAAATAAATCTTTTTAAAAAAATTATTTTCTTAAAATAGCTGCTCCAGAAGCCTCCCTAGTGGTCTAGAGGTTAAGTCACAGCAGGTTAAGTCGCAGCACTACCACTATGAAGGCCCATGTGGACAGACAGAGTTCGATGCCCGGCCAGGGAGCTGACCCACATGGCGCAGCAGACCTCTCCTGTTTCACCTGCTGTTCCCCTCAGCAGTGTATTTCAGAAGATCTGCCTGTACTACTCTCCACTCTGTCTCTGGTAAATCCTTTCACCCCGCACACCTCTGGCCTACACCCCAGTTCTTGTATGCATAAATAAATATAAATCTTTTTTTTTTTAAAGATTTATTTATTTATTTATACAAGTACTGGGTACAGTCAGAAGCGCAGGAGGGTGAGAGGATTCACCAGACCCAGAGTGGAGAGTAGAACAGGCAGAGTGATGAAGTACACTGCTGAGGGGAGCAGCGGGCGGCAGGAGATTTCTGCGCGCTATGTGGGACCCTCCTCTGGTGGCCGGGGAGCAGCCGGGATCGAACCGGTGCCGCAGAGGCTGCGGGCAGCTTCGCAACCCAGCGCTCAACCGCTGCGCCACAAGGGAGGCCGAATGAAAATAAATCTTGGGCCTCCCCGGTGGCGCAGCGGTTGAGCGCTGGGTTGCGAAGCTGCCCGCAGCCTCTGCAGCGCCCGTTTGATCCCCAGCTGCTCCCCGGCCACCAGAGGAGGGTCCCACATGGTGCGCAGACCTCTCCTGCCGCCCGCCGCTCCCCTCAGCAGTGTATTTCATCAGTCTGCCTGCTCTGCTCCCTGCTCTGGCTCTGGTGAATTCTCTCACCCTCCCGCGCTTCTGACTGTACCCAGTGCTTGTATAAACAAACAAACAAACAAATAAATAAATACATAAATAAATCTTAAAAAAAATTGCTGCTCTGGAGGGATTCTACATGAAGGTGCTGGCAGGTGACAGCTCCTGAGAAACACTGAAGGATCGTTATGGGATTGTAAGTCCCAAGACATTCTAGCCAGACCCTCCTGAAGACAACTGTTTCTCTCAGGTGTATCTGCTCTTAGAATCGGTCATCAGTTCTAATCCATGTTGTGCCTCTCTTCAGACCACAACTTAAAATTTTAGAAATATTTCTGCCATTTTGAATTGTCCTGCTATCACCTGAAAGTTATTCTACTTCTTTGTATTTTGTTAAAACCCATTATCTAGACGCAAGGGTGTGAATTTCTTGTTCAGCTTCATTACTTACTTTAGAATTTGCTCTTTCTTCTGTGAAAACTCCTTCGTGTATGCCTATCTTTCAACAAAATGCTTCAAGGATTTTCAATTGTTTTATGAACACCTTTATATTTGGGAAGTTACACAAGTATTATTTTTCTTTTTTCTTACATGGAAAAAAGTTGTTATTGAAATTAAGCAGCTAAATCATGTGACTAGTTATGGTGGGATTGAGAAATATGATAAATTACATAACCAAATTTAAGTATTAACCTGTTTAATTTTGCATACTTTAATCTCTGTGTAAATAGATTAAGAAGATGAAATTTTCGTAGGCAATATTCAATAATCCCTTTAAATGGGTAATATTCAGTAATCCCTTTATATGCATTATCAAGCCTCATATTAAGCAAAGTGCAACAATAATTTAATATGCTAAACAGACACATACAAAACCTGTGTATCTTGAACTACAAAAGTGGTGTCCATAGTCACATATAGTTTTAGTCAAGTACACATGTCCACAATGAACAAATACTAACAATGTTAATTAAACACTCCCCCGAGATGCTTATCCTGCCTTCAGTTCTTTTTTTAAAAGATTTATTTATTATGCATACAAAAGCTGGGGCACAGGCCAGAGATGCAGAGGGTGAGAGGATTCACCAGAGACAGAGTGGGGAGCAGAACAGGCAGACTGACTGAAATACACTGCTGAGGGGAGCAGCGGGCGAGACAGGAGAGGTTTGCCGCTCCATGTGGGTTGCTCCCTGGCTTGCTGGGGATCGAACTCGTGCTGCAGAGGCTGCGATTACTTCATAGTGCGGTGTTTGACCCCTTGCACCACCAGAGAGGCCCTGCCAACAGCTTTTTAAATAATACCATTCCCGATACTGAAAGCATTTATTTTAAGAAGCTCTAATCTGTCATGGGAAAATTAGTTCTACTAAAATTTTACAAATAATATGTTATAGACCACAAAGATTCTTTTTTTTTTTAATATTTATTTATTTAGTTATACACGAACCGGGGTACAGGCCAGATGTGCAAGAGGATGAGAGGATTCACCAGAGACAGAGCGGGGAGCAGAACAGCCAGAAGGACCAAAGACACTGCTGAGGGGAGCAGCGGGCGTGACAGGAGAGGTCTGCGCGCCATGTGGGACCCTCGCCGGCTGGCCAGGATCGAACCGGCGCTGCAGAGGCTGCGGACAGCTTCACACCTCGGCGCTCAACCGCCTGCGCCACCAGGGGAGGCCCAGACCCCAAAGATTCTTAATAAAAAAAAAATACAATAATTCTGTATTGTCATCCAATACAGAAGCATTCACATGAAACTTTTATTTCTCAAAAAAACCCCACATTTATGATCTAAGAAAACAGAAAATATTAAAACAAATCATCTTCAGCCAGAAACATTCCTACAGAATACTGCATTTTCTTATATCTTCTCCTTAAAAGAAACACAAACTGGGCCTCCCTGGTGGCGCAGCGGTTGAGCGCTGGGTTGCGAAGCTGCCCGCAGCCTCT